TGATGCTGAATAGGTTTCAGCAGAGCTTCCAAACTAAGACGGATTAGGAAGAAAGGCCTGGTGATCCATTTCTGAAAATTAGCCAGTGAAAACCCTATAGACCACAATGGTCCAATCTGCAACTGATTATGGGGATGGCACAGGACCGGGCAGCATTTTGTTCCATTGAGCATGGTGTTGCCATAAGTCAGGAGTGACTCCACAGCAGCTAACAATGACAACGTGTGTGTGTGCGTATATGTGTGTGCAAATACACCAAGCTTACAGGGTGATCTATAAAGTGTTTAAAACATTACTTGGAGAATGATGACATCACAAAGTTCAGTTCAGTTTACCTGGAATCCTGCAGAGTCGGGCAACTGGACGAAGACACTGTGACGGTCAAGGTTGAGTGTCAACTTGGCTGGGCCATGATCCTCAGGAGTTTGGCAGTTATGATGCAGTTTGGCAGTTATGTAATGATGTAATCAGCTCTGTGATTAGATCTGCTATGAGCAGCCAATCCACTGAAAAGGAATCTCCTTGGAGGTGTGGCCTGCCTCAGGTATATAAATGAATGGTCCAGTGAGGCTCTCACTCTGGGTCCTACATCCAGCTCATCATACTCTGAATTCCAGTTCTTGGGACTTGAGCTAGCAGCTTGCTTGCTGATCTTGGAATTTGTCAGCCTCCACAGCCCATGAGCCAGTGGCCTGCCGTCTGACCTGCTAATCTTGCTTTCATCGGCCACTGCTGAGTTGGGAAAAAGCCTGCAGCCTGATGCCTGACCCATGGACTTGGGACTTGCCAGCCTCTACAACCTCATGAGCCATTTCCTTGACATAAATCTCTCCCTCTCTCTCTCTCTCTCTATATATATATATATATATATACATACATATAGCAGGAGGAAAATGTGGCAGTCTGCTTCCATAAAGATTACAGCCTTGGAAAGCCTGTGGGGCAGTTCTACTCTGTCTTGTAGGGTCGCTAAGAGTTGGAATCAACTCAACGGCAACAGGTTTGGTTGGTATATATATATGTACGTATACATACACACGCTTCATTGATTTTGCTTCTCTAGAGAACCCAGCCTAAGACAGACATCTTGGGTACAAACCCATGACAGCAGCTGCCTAAACCTCAAACTGCAAGGACAGTGTCCCAGTCCTACAACCACACCCTGCCGAGGGCACTACCCTACCAGGGAGGACTTCGGAAGGGTTCAGGAGAAGGTAGGAGAGCTGAAGTGGGGAGGTCTGAGTTCAAGTCGTGCTGCTGGGTGCTTCACGGTCACAGATGCAGTCGGGGCTTCTCTGACAAGGCGCAGGTGCTGGGCAGAGGGACAGCATGGGCGACTCCATGGCAGCTAGAGACTTAGAGGCCACTTGATTCTGCTTCGCTCTAAGGCTAACAGCAAGTTGGGGGGCACCAACTCCAATCCCTTCCCTCCCTCTCTCCCTCTCCCCAGGACTTGTGACATCACTTCCGTGAGAGTCAGCGGGTGGACGTCATACACATGCCCAGGCTGGGCTTGGCAACTTGCAGGCCTAATCCCCTCCCCCTGCACAGTGCTTTCCTGCTTGGGCCAGACCCCAGGCTCCCGCCTTGGAGCCCGAGGGCAGGTGCTACCTGCAGCAGGCCCCTGGCGTGTCTCAGCCTCAGCCAAGGAACAGCTGCTTCAGAATCATCTCAGCTGCATGTGGAAAATGCAGCTTCCTGGCCTCATGGCAGACACCTAAATCCAAATCAGAGGTTCTGGAAGTCTTCATTTTTAACAAACACTTGACTGAGGCTACTGCACACAGAAGCCTGTTCCGCCAAGTTTCTAGAGAACCACTTGTCATGGCTTGAGATATGTCCCCCCAAAAAATGTGTGTATCAGTTTGGCTAGGCCATGATTCCCAATGTTGTGTGGTTGTCCTACATTTTGTGATTTTACTTTTATGTTAAAGAAGATTAGGGTGGGATTGTAACACCCTTACCCATGTCACATCCCTGATCCAATGTAAAGGGAGTTTCCCTGGGGTGTGGCCTGTACCACTTTTTTATCTCTCAAGAGATAAAAGGAAAGAGAAGCAAGCAGAGAGCTGGGGAAGCTCATACCACTAAGAAAGCAGTGCCAGGAGCAGAGCACGTCCTTTGGACCTGGGGTTCCTGCGCAGAGAAGCTCCTAGACCAGGGGAAGATTGATGACAGGGACCTTCCTCCAGAGCCAACAGAAAGCCTTCCCTGGAGCTGACGCCCTGAATTTGGACTTGTGGCCTATTAGACTATGACAGAATAAATTGTTCTTTGTTAAAGTCATCCACTTGTGATATTTCTGCTACAGCAGCACGACATGACTAGGATACCGCCCCTCTGTTAACACCCAAGATGGAGTTACCAAGCAAGTTGGGGCTCCCCTCCGGCCTCAAGGAGCAGTGTTGGGACCCGCTGTTGGTCCCCAGAGAGATGGCTCTGGACTGCTAATACCTGCTGGGTGAGGTTCTCAGCCTTGGGTGGAACCTCCAGAGATCTCCCTTAGGGAAGGTTAGAAAGTGAGGGGGGAAGAAACTTTCACACAGAGAAACATCAAACAAATTGGGGGTTTTATTTACAGAATAAGGCAAGGAAAAGAAACACAAAAGCCTCGTGCTGGAACACGTAAAGGAAAAACCCTCAAGCTCAATCCTTTGTAGGTGTTGGCCCTGATATTAAAAAAATACTAATAATAAAGAGAAAGAAAAGGGGATCTGCAACTCAGCGCCTGGAGGTGAAAGTCGTGAGCTCAGTGAACTGAGGGAGGGAAAGGCATCCTGCCCTGTCGGTGGGGAAGGACTCTGGAGCTGAGCAACAGTCTAGAGAAGTTAACCTTTTGTATGTATGAACCTAACTCCCGGGACACTCCCAGGGAGTTTGAACTTTTGGAATTTCTGGATTAATTCTTAACCGGACTTTAAGAATTTGGGGGCCAAACGTGCTTGGCCTTGCAATTTCTCCAACTGGGAGTTGGGGGGTCTTTGTTGGGCAGACTCCCTGGCAAGCCTCACAGCTCTCATCCCTTCCCTGATCATACTTCCATTCCCCCAGGAAGAGCTGGCTGGCTTCTTTGGTGCTCATCAGTCCCACTGGTTTATAGGTATCCAAACACAGCACAGGCGAGTTCATGGGTGGTGCAAATGGTTAAAGCGCTCAAGTGTGAACTGAAAGGTTAGAGGTTTGAGTCAACCCAGAGGCATCTTGGGAGAAAGGCCTGGCAATCTGCTTCTGAAAAATCAGCCACTGAAAACTCTATGGTGCACAGCTCTACTCTGATACACATGGGGTCGCCATGAGTTGGAGTCAGCTCCACCCAACTGGTTTCACTGGTTCATTTCCTGTGACCAGCTGGCCTCCCAGGCCCGGGCTCTCCTTCTCACTAACTATGCTTTGCTTTTTCTTCCACTTACATCTCTTCTTCTCCCCAGCTCCTGGTGTTGGCAGGCAAGCTATAATTATCTTACATGTGTGAAAATGTGCCGTTATCAACTTTCATCATTTGGGCTAAAACAAGATCATTTGTTTTCTCTTTTCCTCACAAATATTAGTGCTGCAGGAATTGGGTCCAACTTCATCTTCAGCATGAGCCTCCAGAAAGTGAAGCTGAGTCTAGCTCCACAGTGGCAAGTTTCTCCCCCACCCACTCCTTTTTCTGTCTGTCTGTCTGTCATCACACCTTCTCCACTTCCCAGAACACCTGACCTGTAACGCATGAGACTTGAGGCTCCCTTGCATGCCCTGGGAAACCTCCAGGGACGACGGGTAGGTGACGTCACCTAACCTGCAGATTGGTCAGCAACCACCACTTCGGACTTTTGGATATTCTGGAAACAAAGTGACAACAGTGAGCCAATCGTGGGCGTTTACAGAAGGTCATGGTGAGGGTTCCTCTTTCCTTCATCTCCCTGTCTGATGGTCCAACAGCAGCCCACAGGTCATCCTCTGTTGGTGTCAGGCCCAGGACCCACTCCCACCCTGTGAGTCCAGGTGAGATGAGGTCAAACTGGGCAGTGCAGAAGAGGAAAGGAGGCTACAAAGCCAGCCAACGGGAGTCCATGGGCCTCAGAGGGATCCTGAGTACCAGCCATGACACCTCTGGCCACACAGCCACCCCTGGGCCCTGAGATTTGCCAACGCCGATAATCCAGACCCAGTTCCTGTACTTCTACTTCTGTCTTTCCAACTTCCTTCTTAGCTTGTGTCTACTTCCTTATCACCTGTCTCCTACTTCCTGGTTCCTTCTCTAACTCACACACTTTCATTTGCAGGCATTGTGTCTTGCTCTCTCTATCTTGTCCTCTCCATCCCAAGACAAACCACCCCAAGTCAGCTTGGCCTACAGGAGGCGCTGAGCAGCTGTCAGGAGTGGGCTGACGTTGCCACACGGCCAGTCAGGAGGCCATGGCCTCAGCCAGGGCAGGGGAGTCTGTCCAGTCTCAAACATGTGAGCTGGGCTGGGCACAACAACCTTCAGGAGCAGACCCTCAAACAACCAGGACCAGCCACCCAGCAGGCATCTGAACATGCTGTCTCTCCTGCCATCTCCGCCAGCTGCACTTCGTGTCAGAGACGGGTGAAAATGATGCACTTTTATCTACTTGAAACAGTCATGACACACCTGTCAACAGTTTTCAAAGCATCGTAGCCTTCACGGAGATTTTTTCCTTCCTTCCTTCTTCTCAAGCCTGTCACGAAACTCCTGGTGGCACAGGGGTGGGGTTTGGGGAAGGAGATGAGGGAAAATGACTTCAGAAACAAGCAGCTCCTTTGCCGTCCTCAGACAGCAGCAGCCAAGGGCTGTGTGTGCCCTGTCACCCGGGACCTGTCCAGATTCCCTCATAATCACCACTCCACATACCCACCCACAGCGCTTCATTTGTCAAATGTTTTCCTCCACCCCACCCCTTCCATCTTCACGGTAAGGGCCAGGCTTTAGCAAAATAACTCCAGTCTCAAACCTAACCGTGGCCTAATCCTCTGTGGACTGGCCATCTGGTCCACCTGGGTCCAAGAGATGTGAAAAGCTCAGCAGACAGGGCACGGATGACTTTGTCCTAACACTCATCCCATTCAACTAAGAAAGATATTTTTTTTCTCCCAAGTATTTTGTGAGTTCAAGTCTAAACTGTTCTTGGATTCGCTGAGTTCTGAGAGCAGAGCCTTCTATTCATTCTTGAGGCACCTGCCCCAGCAGCTTCCATTAGCGGACAAAGGACACCACGCTGGTGGCTACTCCAAATGGGGAGGAGTAGGCCACGGCAAATCCCTGCAGGCCGATGACCACATAGCGGCATCCTTTGGTGATGACCTTCCCGACATTCTATTTTTAGGAAGAGAAGAGAAAAAGCAGAGGTTAGGTTAGGCAACTTTTTAATTCCTCATGTGCAATGACCATATACATAGAGCTGCGATGCCTCATTCTCCAAGGTGGAATTAGCAAAGTACCGTGTCTCCACATCCCTGGTGTCCCACGGCCACTCCTAACATAAGGATATGCAGGTAGAGGATGAGGTAGAGGGTCTCAGAACACACATGATCACCTTGCAAAGTGCTGTCAAGCACAGCATATTTCCAGACTGTCATGGATTGAATTGTGTCCTCCCAAAATATGTGTCAACTTGGCTAAGCCATGATTCCCAGTATTGGGTGGTTGTCCATCATTTTGTGATCTGATGTGATTATCCTATGTGTTGTAAATCCTACCTCTATGTTGTTAATGAGACAGGATTATAGGAGGTTATGTTAGTGAGGCAGGACTCAATCAACAAGATTAGGTTGTATCTTGAATCAATCTCTTCTGAGATATAAAGCAGAGAAGCCAGCAGAGAGAGAGAGAGACCTCATTATCACCAAGCAAGAAGAGCCAGGAGCAGAGCGCATCCTTTGGACCTGGGGTCCCCGCACTGAGAAACTCCTAGACCAGGGGAAGATTGATGACAAGGACCTTCCCCAGAACCAACAGAGAAAGAAAGCCTTCCTCTGAATCTGACGCCCTGAATTCAGACTTCAAGCCTCCTAGACTGTGAGAGAATAAATTTTTGTTAAAGCCATCCACTTGTGGTATTTCTGTTATAGAAGCACTAGATAACTAAGGCACAGATCCTTCAGAGAACATCTCAGAACCAGTGGTGAGGCTGCTGGTTCTAAAACCAAAGCCGTCTTTCTTTTTATAAAAGCACACTCCTCTTCCCTGTTCCAGCTAAAAGTTATTGGATTCCCTGGAGGCCAGGTCAAGGTTTCCTTCATGCTCTTCTCGGAAAGGCCAGCCTGCTACGCATATCCCTGACTGACCCACACACTTGGCCCTTTTTAGTCCTCCCCTGTTCTCTATTTGCTGCATCCCTAGAAGTCTTGTGTTTCCAATACAATTATAAACTCCTTAAGGGTAAGGGCAGGGCCATGCTTTCTTGGTCTCCACTCCTCTTCCTCTTTCTCTACCAGGCCTGCTGCTGGACATGGGGAATACAAGGGGTGCCAATGGAACTGCAAATGGACTGTGCAGATAGGGAAATTGTGGCCCACTAAGGGGATTGGTCAGTTTTGCCATCCCACTGGGCTAGAAATGAGCCACCCCAGAGGCAGGAAAGAGAGGATCCTACCAACACCAAGGAAGAACAGCCAGGAGTGGAGAGCGCGTCCTTGCACCCGGGATCCCTGCACTGAGAAGCTCCTGGAACCAGGACACAGAGAGAGAGGGAGCTCTCAAGAAGCAGTGGTGGAGAAACAATGGCAGGAGATGGCGTGGTGGGCTTCCCGGCCCATGGAGCGAGAAAGCTTTGTGCCTTTGGGCAAGAGTCTTGCTAGCAGTGTAGGGTGCCTCAGGGCACTTATTGGTAGAGCTGCAAGAGCTTTGTAACACTTGCCTGAGCAGCGCAGAGGCCGAGGGGTCAGGGAAAGGTGTGCCTGCAGCATGGCTGGGAAGAAGCTGTCCTTATGAAAGAACTGTATCCTGAGTGTTCCTGAACCTGAATTGTAACCTGTTACTTCCCTAATAAACCCAGTAATCATGAGTATTGTCTGTGAGTTCTGTGTGGACATTGCAATGAATTATCAAACCCAGCACAGAAGCAGAAAGTGCTGTGGGTGGGATGATTGGTGTCAGAGTTGCTGAAAATGGTGGAGAGAGGAGGCATGCCTGACCTCCACCTCATTGGAATCAACCTTGGGCTGTTGGTCTTGATTCTCCTTGCCCCTTGTGAAGTTAGAGAAGGTCAGACACCACCCCCATGCCATTTTTACAAACTCAGACCCAAATATTCAACTCTCTACTTGAGATCTCCACGTTTTGAGACACCCCCCAGTTCCTTGGGCATGCATTCTTCTTGCTGTACCAAGTAAACAGACCTAACTTTGACTGCCTACCAGTGCATTCCTGGTGGTCTTTGGCTGTCAGGTTTCAACGAGAAGAAAACACAGAGGGGTTACATTTATCCAAGGTTGTACTGCTGGTAAGAGGCAGAGCATAAATTCAATCCCAGCACCTCAGAAGCCATGCCCTTAACCCCATATTATACTTCCCTTCTTTATTGAAGGCAGTATGCAAACTTGAAGTTAATTGCTCACGGCCCGGGCTTGAATTCTAGCTCCATCACTTACTTAGCTTTCCTTGGCCTCAGCTTCCTCACCTATAAAATGGGAATATTTAGTAATCACCTCATTGGGTTATGAAGAGGATTAAATGATTTTATGCAAAGAAAGCACTTACAACAGCGCCTGGCACAAAGGACAGGTAGTATAAATGCCAAAAACTGTCAGCTATTACTAATATAAAATAACATTTGCTTCTCCTTATTACATAGTAATTTAGGTTTATTGTGGTAATATATATATCTAAGATACTTCTTTACCTGTCCAGGAAAGTTTCTTAAGAGTATAATTTCTTATGATTTCTGGTTTACTTAAGCTTCCTGTAGCTTAAAGTACAGAGTCCCCCACCAAAATAGAATGAGGGAGAGGAGTCTGTTTTGTTCATTCCTGTATCACCAGTGCAGTTCCTTGGTGGAACAAATGGTTAAGCACTTGACTGCTAACCAAAAGGTTGGAGGTTCGAGTTTACCCAGAAGCACCTCATAAGGAAGATCTAGTGGTCTACTTCTGAAAAATCAGCCACTGAAAACCCTATGAAGCACAGTTCCACTTTGATACACATGGAGATGCCATGAGTTGGAATCAACGCTACAGCAACTGGGTCATCTGGTATCCCCAGCACCTAGAAAGAGCCTGAAGTTTCTTTGGAATGTCTCAGGCTAAATGAGGAGCTCTGGGAGAGCCAGGTAACAAGGCCGTCTTCTCTAGGCATTGACCCATCAGCTTCTGGATGAGCCATCAGGGAATGTGCACGTGTGTGCGTGCACATACGCACATGTGTGTTTGTATGCACGCATGCATGCACACGTGTGGGGGTGATGTTGCTAAGAGATGCATTTCTATAATCTGTGAAGGGAATCATTGCAAGAATTTTACTTGTATTTTTGAAACAACAACAACAAAAAATTGTTTTCTGGGAGCAAGAGAGATCCTTTATACACAATGCCACCACAATCACGGATCGCCTGCATTAAACTTGACTTTTTTGGTACTTGTACACTCATTTTCCTCAACTTGTTATTTTTTTTTTTAAACTGCTTGTCATTTTGTCTTTGCAACTTTGAAAAGAAAGCTACTAACATAGCTCATTAACTAGAACACTGTCAAAGCACAGATTTGAGAAATGTGATACAAAGGAATGTAAAATACCTAGCAAGGACCTTCGCCATCATTCGAGGGAGATGTTGGATTCTTTGATCTGAGCAGAGCGTTCGACCCATATCATCTCTCCGAGGGGTGATGGGGCATAGGGACCATGGGGGAGTCTGGTAGGCTGAATAATGGCTTCCCAAGATGTCCACATCCTAATCCCTGAACCTATGAATATGTTACCTTATACGAAAAACAAAAAGATTTTGCCGATGTGATTAATTTAAGATCTTGAGAAGGTGATGATAGCCTGGATTATCCAGGTGGGTCCAATCTAATCAAAAGAGTCTTTATAAGGGGAATGTAGAAGGAGTCGGCTGCCCAAACGGTTAAGGCACTCAACTACTAGCTCACAGGTTGGCAGTTCGAACCCACCCAAAGGCACCTTGGAAGACAAGCCTGGTGATCTGCTTCCGAGAGGTCACAGCCTTGAACACCCTATGGAGCAGTTCTACTCTGGCATATATGGGGTCACCATGAGTCAGCATCCACTCGACAGCAGCCAACAACCACCACAACTAGGACGTGTCTGAGTCAGGAGGAAGGCGATGTAACAGAGGCACCGAGACAGAGATCTGAAGACACCATGCTGCTGGCATTAAAGATGGAGGAAAGGGGGGCATGAGCCAGGGGTACAGGTGGCCTCTGGGAACGGGAAAGTGCAAGAAATTGCTTTTCCTCCGGAGTCTCCAGAGGGGACCCGCCCTCCCGACCTTGAGGTTACCTAATGAAATGGATTTTAGACTTCTGGCTTCCAGACTCTCCGAAAATAAATCCTTACCCCCAGCTCTCACTGTGGCTCTCAGGTGTCTGGGAAAGGAGACCTCTTATTTAAGCTATGTTTTGGGGTTCACTCTTTCCTCCCTCGCCCCAACTGCTTCTGCCACATGAAGTTCCCGACGCCTAGCTCTGCTGCTTTCCAGCTGGGTTGTCTTTTTTTTTTTTTAATATTTTATTATATTTTTGGTGAAAATATGCATAGCAAAACACACTCGTATTCAACAATTTCTACAATAATGTTCAGTGACATTCGTTACCTTCTCCACACGGTGTCAAAATTCTCATTAGTATTTCTGTTCTAGCTGTTTCACTCCCATTAACTTATTCTCCCAGCCCCCAGACTTCTCAGCTATGCTTTAGAGTAACTATTGTCCATTTTGTCTCATACAGACAATTTTTTAAAAAGTGCAGTACTCAAAAAGATCTCTTTAAAGTGTTAAAAAACAAAGATGTGTCACTTTAAGGACTAAGGTGCACCTGACCCAAGCCATGGTGTTTTCAATCGCCTCATAAATGCGTGTGAAAGCTGGACAATGAATAAGGAAGACGGAAGAAGAATTGATGATGCCTTTGAATTATAGTGTTGGGAAAGAATACTGAATATACCACAGACTGCCAAAAGAATGAACAAATCTGTCTTGGAAGAAGTACACCCAGATTGCCCTTTAGAGGCAAGGATGGTGAGACTTCGTCTCACACACTTTGGACATGTTATCAGGAGGGATCAGTCCCTGGAGAAGGACATCATGCTTGGTAAAGTTGAGGGTCAGCGAACAGGAAGACCCTCACCAAGATGGATTGACACAGCGGCTGCAACAATGGGCTCAAGCATAACAACGATCGTGAGGATGGCGCAGGGCCGGGCAGGGTTTCGTTCACAGATAGGGTCTCTATGAGTTGAAGGTGACTCAATGGCACAGTGCTCAAGGGCGACATTCTTCACTTTTTGAGCTAACCTGCTATTTAGTTAACAGGTGACGTCAGGAAATAGTTTTGGTTCAAAGTCTAAAGAGTATCTCATGGCAATAGTCTCAGAGATTCCTCCAGTCTCAGTGGATCCCCTGAGTCTGGATTCTTTAAGAATTTGAAGCTCTGTTCCACATTGTTCTCCTTTTCGATCAGGATCCATCGATTGTGTCCCTAATCAGAACGTTCAGTAGTGGTAGCCGGGCACCATCTAGTTCTTCTGGTCTCAAGGTAGAGGAGGCAGTGGTTCATGGACACAATTAGTCCTGTAGTCCAGTTCCTTCTCTGATTCTTGGATTTCCTTATCCTAGCTGGGTGGTCTTGAACAAATGGCTTAACTTTCATAAACTCACTTCCTTTGCCATAAAATGGAGATGATAATAGCTTTCCAAGGTTGTTGAGGGGATTCAGAGATATCACATATAAAGTACTTGGCACCCTGAAAGAGCACAACTAACGAACGTTTCCTTCCCCTTGCTTGTTCCCAGGGAACAGCACTTCAACAACAAGAAATGCACCATATGAATGAATGTTAATATCATTACTTAAAATTATCACCTGGGGACACTGACCAGCAGGAGTCCCAGGCACACAGCCTTCCGTGCTCAGAGCCCCCTCCTTGCCCTTCCAGAGGACTGGACCAGCTCGGCACTGGGGGTCCCTGGCTGGGGCCATCGGGTGCAAGAGGGCAATGTGAGCCCATCCTTCCCCTAAGGGCTTCTTCCACATGTTTACGTTTCACAAAGGCCAAACACCTTTCTTTAAACAGAATCAGGAAGGAGCTTGGGCAAAGGATTTGAAAAGGTAACAGAAGAAGAGGAAATTTAATCACTCTTCCTCAGAGGAAAAGCCGTTCCTTAATAATGTGGAGTTGTTTGCATTTCGCTCCGTATTCCACTGGGCTCAAGTATGACTCAGTTTTACCTGTTGACTATCCAAGTAACCAGTTGCCATCCAGACCCCATGTGTGTCAGAGTAGAACTATGCTCCATGGAGTTTTCAGTGGCTGTGTTTTTGAAAGTAGACCGTCAGACCTTTCTTCCAAAGTCCCTCTGGATAGACTTGAACCTCCAACCTTTCGGTAAACAGTCGAGTACATTAACCATGTGCACCACCCAGGGACTCCACCTGCTGACTAAAGCAGGTGACATCACCTCCCCACAGTTCTAGCCCAACCTTGGCTCTTCTCGTGGATTTTCAGCATAGAAGGGTCGGATATTCCTTCCTCCACGATGGAGCTCGGTTACCCTCTCGTCTGCCTCCCAAGAAGCGGATGCTAAAGCTGCTGTTTCAAAGGGCAGAAAGGGCACGTCTAACCCTAACGGGACAATATCCTCTCACGTGTCCTCCTGAGCCTACTGAGACGAGGGTCTAACACTCCTGTGCTTGCACGCGCCACACTTCTGCTTGTGCTGTTCCCTCTGCCTTAGATGCCACCCCTCCTCCATCCCTTAACTCATCCTTCAGCACCCAGTTTTCACGTCACTGTTGATGTGAACCTCCTCCCTGAGCAGTGCAGTGCCAAGAGACCCTATAAGACAGAGCAGAACTGCCCCAAAGGGTTTCCAAGGAACAACTGGTGGATTCAAGCTGCCGGCATTTTGATTAACAGCTGAGCTCTTAAATGCTGCGCCACTAGGGCTCCCTGTAAAGATTATAGCCAAGAAAACCCTATGGAGCAGTTCTACTCCATAACACAAGGGATCACCATGAGTCAGAATCAACCGGACAGCAGCCAACAAGCACCATGCCTCGCACATAGTACCCATTGCTCTCCAGTCAATTCTGACTCATAGCAACCCTCTAGGATGGAGTAGAACTGCCCCATAGGGTTTCCAGGGATTGACTGGTGGGTTTGAGCTGCTGACCTTTTGGTTAGCAGCCAAGCTCTTAACCACTGTGCCACCAGGGTTTGGCACATAGAGACCACCAAAAAACACGTCCAGTGCCAGCCCCTGAGCCAAGATTTCCATGTTATCAGCTCACAAGTCGAGAGGAAATGATGGCTTCTTTGTACTCAACTAAGACTTGGAAGAGAAATGATTAGTCCTAGTACAACCACAAACTTGAGAATCCCAACGCTGTAGCTTTTATTACTATATTGCACCACTGTCTGTGTATTGCTAAAGTTGCTGACATACCTTTAAAGAGGATGATAAACGTAAGCTTCTGGGTGTGGGGACTGAGTGGCTGCAGGCATGATAAGAGCCCCTGGAGGGCACAGATAACTGAACAATAAATCAGGCGGGGCCCGTGGCCTTTGGACACCATGAGTTTGCCATGTCTCTCCTGGGTGACCTGCCCGGCCACAGCGAGCGTTTCTAGGCAGAGACACCTGGGATCTGCCTTCATGTTCTGATCTCGGATGAGAAAACTGCCATTTTATCCCATCATCTCTCTCCCCGCTCCGAGGCAGAACGGCAGTGTGTTTACAGGCCCCGGAGAGCACGGCCGGATGGGAGAAGAGCAAAGCAGGCTGAACAAGTGCCTGTTTATGTATCCGTGGAGCTCCCAGGTCCTGTAACTAACCTTGGAACTATTTGGGGGAAATATCCCAAACAATTCTCAGCTAGCGGAACATCCCGCAAAGGATGCTGGCAGGAAACAGAGAACGTGGGCTGCAACCCCGACTTTCAAATGGGGTCACCTACTAGTCACCTAACCACGATAAAGCCTCAGTAAAGTGGGGACACTGATTCCTGTCCCGCCTACTCAGTAGGGCAGTGGTAAGGCACATTTAGAGGCGCTCTTGTGGTGCCGTGGTTAAGCACGCGGCTGGTAACTGAAAGATGTCGATCAGCGAGAGAAAGATGTGGCAGTCGGCTTCCGTAAAGATTTATAATCTGGGAAACCCTATGGGGCACTTCTACTCTGTCCTATAGGGTCGCTGTGAGTCGGAATCGACTCGACAGTAGTAGATTTGATTTGGTTTTTAAGACACATTGGGGATAAGGACTTTGGCAAGCACACCTGGAAAGAGCCACTAACCTGCCAGCTGTGGAGTGGGTGGCAGCGTGGGGGCCAGCGAAACCCCTGATTTCATTGATATCATTGCCTGCGACTTCTTCCCTCACTTTCCAGCTCACAGACTGAAGTTTGAAGAGCTCTAGAAACGAATGCCTGCGAGGGTGTGGGGGCCTGATGGGGGACGCAGGGGCCGCCAGAGAAGCGAAGCAAAGTGAGGCTCCCCAGCGGGTCCCCGAGGAAGCCCCCAAAGCCCTACCTTGCCATACTTCTTCAGCTTCTGCCGGTACCTCCTCTTGGGCTTCTCCGCGGGCGCCGGCTCGTCCAGCGGCTCGTAGCGCTCGGGGAGGAAGGCGAGGTGCACCCTCCTTGCGCTCCGCGCCGCCGGGGCGCTCGTCCCGCTCGCCGCCGCCTCCGCGTCCTCGTCCCCGCACTCCAGGTGCTCCAGGATGGCGAGCGTCTCCTCGTCCCCCTCCGGCCGCCCTCGCCCCCGGAGCCCGCGGCGCTGGAGGCTGCTGGCCGCCTTGCTTCGGAGCCGGGCGCCCACCGCCATGGTGCCGCGGCCCCTCTGGCGAAGGTCGGCGCAGGAAGACTCCAACCTTTGCTCCCCGCCGCCTCCGTCACCGGGCCGCCGCCCCAGCCCGGACGGGGCGCGGGACTGGAGGCCGCAGCGCCCCCTGGCAGTAGGGTCCGAGATTGCGGCAGCTCCACCCCGGGGCCGCGGCAACCTGCTGGTTGGCCGAAGAAGTGAAGAGTACACCGAGGGCCCAGGGGACAAGGAACGTACAAAACCGGTTCAACCGGACTTGCTGCGAAGTGAACGGACACAAGATAAAAAGACTCCACTTCCACACGTTCAAATGGGCAGAGACGATGATGACAGTGAAGATTATACTCAGTGCTGGTGAGGGCATGGTGAGATGGGCAGCATAATACAATATTCCAGGGAGTGCAAACTGGTGGCAAGCTCTTGGAAAGGCAAATGAAAACATCCATCAAGAATCCTAAAAAACAGCACCTATCTTAAGGAAAGGAGCTCTGGTGGCCCAGTGGTTAAAAGCTGGGCTGCTAATCAAAAGGTCGGCAGTTCGAATCCACCAGCTGCTCCTTGGAAACCCTATGGGGCAATTCTACTCTGTCCTGTAGGGTCTGTAGGGTCAGTATGAGTCAGAATCCGCTCCACGGCACAACAGCATCTTAAGGAAAGGGGTTCCTGGGTGGTGCAAATGGTTAGCACTCTTAGCTGCTCATCCAAAGGTTGGAGTCCACCCAGAAGTGCCTCAGAAGAAAAGCCTGGCAATCTAATTCTGAAAAATCAGCCATTGAAAACCCTGTGGAGCACAGTTCTATTCTGACACACATGGGGTTGCCACAAGTCAGAATCACCTGGACAGCCACTGGTATTGGTATCTTAAGGAAACATTCAGAAAAGTAGCATGTCCGCAGTGTTATTACAGTCTACTCCACAGTGAGAAAAGTGTAGCGAACCAGCGGGATGGGCAAGCTGAGTTCTGGTGCATACATGTGACAGCATATGATGTAATCACTAAAATCATGATTTTCAAGACTGTCTCTCTGACAGGGATTCGTCCTCAGGGCACCGTGACTCTCACTTGGCTTAGGATGCCTTATTTTCTTATATGAGTAAAATGTCTTTCAGTTCGGGAAAGTTAGAACTAAGTATAAAATAATATTGTTATCAATTTTATTAATATTTTAAGATTATTAAAATTTGTGGTAAGTTTAAGAATAATTTGGATATATTGATGATAAAGTGTTTATGATAATTTAGCATACTAGAATATAGAAAAATTAGTTTTGTGATTCCAACTTAAAATTTGTAATCGAGTGATTCAGACTTATAAATTTAAATTGAAAAAATAAAAGAATAAGTAATTTACTAGATTTATAAGAAATACATAGTTTCTTTACATAACTGAATTACTTGAAAAGAAAATCGACTATATTAAGTTTGTTAAAATCTTTGAGATAATCAAATTAAGTAGTAAAAGCCCCCTTACAGCAATTGTTAGATTCTGTTAGGTTTGTAAATAGAAATAAACAATTCATTATTGTTGTTAGGTGCTGTCAATTCAGTTATGACTCATAGATACCCTACGTACAACAGAATGAAACACTGCCCGGTCCTGCACCATCCTCACAATTGTTGCAATGTTTGAGCCCATTGTTGCAGACACTGTGTCAATCCATCTTATTGAGGGTCTTCCTCTTTTTCGCTGACCCTCTATTTTACCAAGCATGATGTCCTTCTCCAGGGACTGATCCCTCCTGATAACATGTCCAAAGTATGTGAGACAAAGTCTTGCCATCCTCACTTCTAAGGAGCATTCTAGCTGTACTTCTTCCAAGACAGATTTGTTCCTTCTTCTGGCAGTCCATGGGATATTCAATATTTTTCACCAACACCATAATTCGAAGGCATCAGTTCTTCTTTGGTCTTCCTTACTCATTGTTCACATTTCACATGCATAGGAGGAGACTGAAAGTACCATGGCTTGGGTCAGGTGCACCTTAGTCCTCAAAGTGATGTCTCTGCTTTTTAACACTCGAAAGAGATCTTTTGTAGCAGATTTGCCCCGTGCAATACATCTTTTGATTTCTTGACCGCTGCTTCCATGGGTATTGCTTATGGATCCAAGTAAAATCAAATCCCTGATGACTTCAATTTTTCTGCATTTATCATGATGTTGCTTATTGGTCCAGTTGTGAGGACTTTTGTTTTCTTTATGTTGAACTAAAATCCATACTGGAGTTTGTGGTCTTTGATCTTCATCAGTAAATGCTTCAAGTCTTCTTCGCTTTCAGCAAGTAAGGTGGTGTCATCTGCATATTGCAAGTTGTTGATGAATCTTCTTCCAATCCTGATGGTGCGTTCTTCTTCATATAGCCCAGCTTCTCGGATTGTTTGCTCAGCGTACAGATCGAATAAGTATGGTGAAAGGATATAACCCAGATGCATACTTTTTCTAACTTTAAATCACGCAGTATCCCCTTGTTCTGTTCAAACGACTGCCTCTTGGTCTATGTACAGGTTCCATATGAGCACAATTAAGTGTTCTGGAATTCCCATTCTTTGCAACGTTATCCATAATTTGTGATGATCTACACAGTTGAATGCCTTAGCATAATCAACAAAACACAGGTAAACATCTTTCTGGTATTCTCCGCTTTCAGCCAGGAACCATCTGACATCAGCAATGATGTCCCTCATTCCATGTCTTCTTCTAAATCCAGCTTGAATTTTTGGCAGTTCACAGTCAATGTACTACTGCAAACACTTTTGAATTATCTTCAGTAAAATTTTACTTGTGTGTGATATTAATGATGTTAGTTGAATTTAAAAGAGTAAACGAAATTAAATGTGTGGATTTGTACCTTTATGGAAGCAACTATTAATTTATAAACAGAAGGAGACCCTGTCGGTTCCTTTTCTGTGTACGGAACTGACCTCAAAGACTCTCGGATTGCATATCGAGTGGAAACAAAGGTGGACCATTCATGGGGCCTAAAACGTGTTGTACATGCAAAATACTATTCAAAGTACCACAGTAGTTTGCTTGCCTGTTAAAGGCAAAACATTTGAACAATTGAAAATTGATTCCCAGATTAACTGTCTACAGCCAGCAGACAAAGAACGAAGGAGATACAGTCAGAAACCATCTTTATGTTGCTTTTCTTTGTCCCTTTAGGAGCTGTTCAGTGCCACAGTGCTTCCCCTGGTCCTGGGTGCAAACTTAGACTGCCGAGAATTTTTTCGGATCACACTGAGTTAAAGAAAACTCCCACAATTGGAAACATAGTCTCAATTTATGTAATCTCAAATCTTACAACGTCCAATTCCATGTAATAACTCTGAACCTTGAACTTGATTTAAAGCTAACTATCTGGTCTCCCTCAGCCAGTATTCAATGTGGGCAATGTGTGTGTGTGTGTGTGTGTGTGTGTGTGTGTGTGTGTGTGTGTGTGTTGGGGGACGCAACACATTTCTTCTCTGTGTTCCCCCACCTAGTATTTCTCAGCTCCTCAAGCTTGCAAACTGGTTTCTGACCCTCCCTGGGGCCAAACAGAGAAAAGGGCAGAAAATGTGTTCCATCACTGGTACTGATCAAAATGTAGTCTCACCTTCTGGGACTGGCAGGGGTTGAAGCTAGCACTTTCCTTGGTTCCTTAGGGGGCCCCCACTGGGAACATTCTATTCCACTGGCCATAACCCAGCCAATGTCTTCTCATCCCTGGTGGCCTTCCTCAAGCCCTAGGAGTCCTGTGACTCATCTCCACTTTCCTATCTTGATCCTGTGCACCTTTGTAAATGTCCACGTGCAACAGGAGTTAGTGTAGGGAATTCAGTGCTTCCAGATCACCAGAAAGGCTGGAAAAACAGGCTCTAGCTGAGAGTCCTCCAGCGTAACTCCTAGAACAACCCAACAGAGCTGTCATTGCCACTGCATCAGGAAGCTGCGCACCAGGAGGTCACCACTGGAAGTGTTGGCTGGAGGGACATGCCTGCTAGATCTGCACTGGCCAAACACAGATGCCCTCTGCCCTGTCTCTCGATACCCATGAGACAGGGGAGCAGACCTTGGCATCCTGGTACAGAAGAATCTGATACCTGCAGAACTGTGCTCGCCAGCAGAAGCATGGTGTCCACCCCGTGGCTGCCTTCCAAAGCTCTTGGGGGTTGTCCTAGTCATCTAGTGCTGCTATAACAGAAATACCACGTGTGAATGGCTTTAATAAGGAAAAATTTATTGTCTCACAATTTAGGAGGCTAGAAGTCTGAATTCAGGGCACCAGCTCCAGGGGAAGGCTTTCTCTCTCTGTCGGAGCTGGGGGAAGGTCCTTGTCTCCTTTCAACAATGGTGGGCCCCGAAATCTTCATGTGTCTTAGCATTAATCTTCCCCTGGTCTTGGAGGTTCTCAGTGCAGGGACCCAGAATCCAAAGGACGTGCTCCGCTCCCAGCTCTTCTTTCTTGGTGGTAATAAAGTCTCTCCTCTCTGCTCGCTTCTCTCTCCTTTTATCTCTTGTAAGATAAAAAGTGTGATTCAAGCAAGGGTAGAGTAAGGGTGGTGACTTAAGAAACATTCCACCCTAATCCTGCTTCATTAACATCACAGTTTAGGATTTACAACCTATTACAAAATGAAGGATAATTACATCAGATTACAAAATGGAGGACAATGCTGGGAATCGTGGCCTAGCCAAGTTGACATGTATTTTGTTGGGGGACACAATTCAATCCATGACAGGGTGTACCTGATTATTTTACGGATCACAAGGGTCTGATCCACTACTGGATTGTGGGGATGGTGCAGAACTGGGCAGCGTTTCATTGAGTTGGGATCACCATGAGTTTGGACCAACTTGATGACACCTAACAACACACTTGCTAAATTTTCTCCAGTCCTGAATGGAGTCTGGAACATGTTGCTTTCCCCTCTTAGCCTCTGAACGCTAGAAGGAAGGTGGAAGGGATGCAAGTGCCAGTCCACAACATCCACTGCCCACAGGGATCTTTCTCTACTGATAATGA